TAATAATTTTATTGCCTTGTTCAGAAGTATTATTCAATTTAAGTGCTTTAGGTAAATGAAACTTGATTTAAGTATAAGTAGAAAAGTAAAAAATAAAATATGAACCTGTTTGCCATTTCTTCCTTTCAACTTGTATATGAAAGTAATGAAAATGATCAAAGGAGAGAGCATGACCTAACTAACAATATACTTAATAATTTTATGACGAATATAAAAATGCTCTTTGAATATGACCAACCTAATTATTACCTACAGTAATTTTGTGTTAGAAAAACTCACTATGGAACTGAGTTCATCAACCTGACTAATTGCTGATGTGATAACATACCAAGTAATTGTACTACTTACATTTAAAAATTCAAAAGTAAAGTTCAACTCCACCTAATTACTTATTCGAAACCTCCACATAATTATACGCGTCTTAACTAAAGTGTCTACACAGTTACGACGATAAAAAATCACCGAACAACACATTACTGTCCACATATTTTGATTACTTTCATATTTATGGACGTTAGTACAATTAGGAAAAAATCACGGAAGATATACAGGATAAAAATAGTGTTAGAGCCATGCTTCGGCGGCTCAACCAGAGTGATACCACGACCTTAAAGAAAAGCGACGTGAAACAACGCTTGCGTTCTGTTTTGCCGTGTAAATGAGGTTATCGGAGACCCAATAACCCTATAGTCTCTAATTCTCCAATCTTCAAATCTTTAACCCTTTGAGTACCGTCATTATAGACACAATTAAAGAACAATAGGTTGCAGTCACCGGTGTCCTCGCGGTGTTTGACTGTTTAACCCCTAAAAGACAACGTACTATTAAGTCTTCTGGTGATGCAAATATCCATGGGCGGCACCGATTGCTTACCATTAGGTGATGTATATCATTTACCGCCCTATACATTAAAAAGAACAGCTTAAGTAACTGGGTAATCGTAACTGGCATGTAACAACAGTTCGATATTCACCTTCGGCCAGATAAAAGTGGCCGGGTACACATAAATAAATTTATTCATTAGGTGACACCCACACCATATCGACACACTAAATCCTCCTTGTCGGCCCCTGTCTGCCTGTACGCAAGGTAAAAAGAAAAATTTGTCATCATTATACACTTACATTTTATAGGTGTGTTTTTAAGCGCGCTCCGATATACGTAAATTGATTTTGTATGCTTAAGTATAGGTAGATACTGTAAATGATTTGATGAGTGTTTGTTTGAGTATAGTAAGAGATGTTCTAAATAGGGACGGCTATTTTACTTCGAAAAAATATTCTAGAACATTTTGGTTCTCTTTTTCAGTTTTTTGAAAAATAATTTATGATGGATTCGTGCCTTCATGCCTCCCGTGAACGAACAAGATGGTAAGCGATCGCCGCCTATATGTCTCTACAACACAGATAAATAATTTTGAATGCCGACCTATCAAAAAATAAAATAAACCAAGGAGGTTTGACTGTACGGTTTAGTACTTGTTTGCCTATATTTTTTTTGTAACTGGCCATCAATCATATTACGAGAAATACGAATTTATTTTTAAATTTAGAATTATGACAATGTAGGTGGCGCGCTAATTACATCATCTTATCTAAATCATTTTGCAATTTTTTTTTAATAATTAGTGTCAATTTAAATTATAATTGCAAAATTAAGATTTTTGCTGGTTTAAGTAAGGAATTTTTTTCGGAGCATCACATTGGATGGACTTAATAATAATGGTAAGTAATTTAAGACTTAATAATAAAGTAATTTATCATGGTTGATTGAGAAAATATAAAAAAATAAAAGTCCAACGATTAACAAAGTAAGTTAGAACAATATCGTTTAAGCTTAACATTAGGTAGGTAAATTGTTTTGACTGAAAATGGTTTTTGCATGTATCTCGGGTTATACTAATTAAGAGCAAATATGATCTCTTTTAATTTTTTTTGGTGACGTTCAAAAGTGTCTTCCTGGTATAATAGAAATCATTGATTTTGATTTTGATTTGACTTAAGCAATGAATCACGTATTATATCATGTCATAATAATACCTATACTACGGAACGAGAACATTTAATACTACTTACCTACGCTACGTATTAAGCGACCGGCGCGCGGCGTAGCTCGTAGGCTCGGTAATCTGCGCCGACGCAGCGCGTAGCAGAGCTCTGAAACCAATTTATCGATTTACATTTCTTTATTAAAAATAAATTAGATAGATACCGATTCAGTGTTTTGTTGTTATAATGTTTTAGACATATTTTTCTTTTAAAAATATAATAATCATCGTTGTTTTAAAAGTTGCAATAGCTAGGTAAATTGCTTAAAATATTTTGGTTATTTAAAATTTACATAACATAACATAATATCACGCCTTTATCCCCGAAGGGGTAGGCAGAGGTTCACATTATGCCACTGTACAATGTGACACCCACTTTTCACTATTTATGTTATGATTTCCATGTAATAGGGGAGCCTATGGCCATATACCGGGCATAATTCTAAACTCCGTGCTACTACTGAGATTTTTTTTTAAAAACCCGCAGTAATATTTTGCCCGACCCTGGAATCGAACCCGAGATCCCTTGCCCGGCAGTCGCACTTGCGACCACTCGGGCAACGAAGCAGTCTAATTTAAAATTTAGTTAGATAGATATACACTGTATGTTATAATATGATATTCACACTATATAATAAAACACACTACATGTTAAACAACTTACATAGTTATGAAGAATATGTGTAGTAAATTCTAGCAGGTGAATCTTTTATGTACAAAAATATCCACTAGGTACATTTATTTTATAGGTACTATCTTAAATCTCGAATAATAAAATTAAATTGATTTTATTTTATAGGATAAGCCGGTAAATGAGCTGACGGATCACCTGATGGTAAGCAATCGGCGTAGCCCATAGACACCTGGAACACTAGAGGCGTTAAAAGTGTGTTACCGGCCTTTTGGGGATTAGGAATTGGAGGATTGTTATATTTTATTAATACTTATTGTTGTTTCTTTTTTCATAGAAGTTATAATTTAGTTTTTTTAAAGTTTATTTTACCTTATTTGAGAAACACACTGTGTCTCGGTGTATCGTACTTACCTATTTATTTTTCCTGCCACAAGCCCACGGGAAGATTTGGACTTCCAGTTGGAATATGCGGGACCTTACTATTATACCTATGTACTTCGTTTTTATATAGGTATGTGTTGGCTTTTGTGTTGTATAAATAATAAATAAATAAATAAAATGTACGTGAGTTTCAACATTCCAAAATTCTAAGCAAGATTTATTCCTGAATCCCACTTAAGTATCTAATGGCTGAGCATATTAACTACTCATTTCAGTACTTTTTGTAGATCGTCTAAATTTTTATAAAATGTTAGCGATTATAAATTAAATGATTTCAGAATCGGATATCTTATAAAAATATATTTATATTAGATATAGTACCTATTTATGTAGATAGTACCTAATTGTGTCTTGTGTTGAACCAATAAAAACTTTCTATTTTTATTTGTATTAATCCTATGAGTACTTTTATGGATTCTTTGATATTTCAATTCTTAGTTTGAAATATCAAAGCAAGAGTTAGTTTGAAATTTCCTTCTTTTATTTAATGAATAATACGTATCCCACGTTGTAATAAAAAAATAGAAATGTAATTATTATAATCAATTGTTACATGTTTATTTCAAGGAAACGTTCAATAAAGGATCCTTTCAAAATCTCAGTACAAAACGTATTTATCCTGTGTACAGGAAACCACAACTTTGGACGAGATTGATACAAGTTATTGAGTAAAGAAAACTTTCAATTAAATTGTAAAGAACGGATACGCCGTGCGCCGTAGCGGGGCAGCGTCAGTTGCTCTGCGGCCCAGACAACCATACACTTTTCCCTGTAATTATAGAAAAAAATACACCACAGATAGGTTCAAAATTGTTTTACTGCCATTTTAAATCGCCTTCTGTTAACCATAATTAAAAATATTAATAATAGACATTCAAAACAGATTGTATAGCACATATGCTCCCTTATTTACCTACGTCACAAGTTAATAACGTCCCATATTTAATGTTTACTATAACATAATTTCACCATCGGCATGCTCCCACACTATCCATTAATAAATAATCCTTACACATAAGTTCCTTAGAACAACAAAGTTTGGAATATTCGACTACTCTTTAACTTAATTAGAATGGAACTCACTCGATACACTCGACTATTAAAACGGATGCTAAGCATACTCAACTAGAACCAAGTTTAATTAAGAAGCTAATCGAAACCAGACTGTTGTCTCACCCAACACACAATAAAACATATACGTTAGAGCGAGAACGATATACATTAACACCTTCTATATGAAGAAATGGTAAAAGATCACCTGTGCTCACTACCGTAATTCTACCGAGCGGTAGAGCACCTGTCCCTTTCATACGGTTCATGCTTAAGCTGAACCGAACGAGTGCGAGTAGGAGTAGTTTCATTTGTGACCCGGGCGAAAATGTCGTATGGGCACTTTTGGTGATGAATTAATATAGCCCTTATGTCAGCAGAGTTAAGGAGCACATTGTTTTAGTATTATTTTGTTTAAATTTTAAAATCTAAGAACGGGACGGAAGGTTGCGTTGCAATCGAGCTGTTGTAATTTTGACGCGTTCGGAAATCGAATTAAGAGCGTTAGAGTGAGAGGTGCGCGGAGGTTTGCTCGGTGGAGGTAGTTTTTTATTATTGTTTGGCGGCGGAGATTTTTTTCTGAGGCGTGCAAATGGGAGTAGGCGCGCGAGTGGGCGCGCCGGCACGACAAGCGCGCTCTTCAGTGTTCTGGCTGAGCTTCAAGCGAGCGCGTGCGAGCCGGGCCGCGTCCTATAGGTGCTCATACCTTATCACTGAGTTCATAGAGCCTATCGAACTGTTGACTACCGTGGACTTTTGGAAGTGAAGTATTTGTTGGTGCCGCATGCTAGCGTTGCAGGAAGCTCGTGACCTGAAGGTGGCTCGACCATGTTGATATCGGCGGGCAGTGGCCCCACGCCCGAGTTCTCCCCTATCTCGTGCTGCGCCCCCTGGAAGATGGAGCCAGCACCCCCAGCCCCTGCTGCCATCACACAGTCGCTCAACATATCACCCAACGGTAAGCTTTCATAATTAAATTTATTTTGCCTCCAATAAGAAACGTCACGCTTATCAGATGTTTTGAATAAGATTGGGTGTGTAGTTGATAACAACAAAACTTTGAAAAAAAAAATATCAGCTATGCCATGAACCAAAATTTTAGACAGTTTTTCCACAGCCTCGAGCTTTCCCATTTCTTTAAATATGGTTTGAAATGTTTAAGTTAGCAAATATGTCAAACATCACAAACGTTACAACAAAGTGTTGTATTTTTCTCCTTTTCTTAACAACTTGTGTCATTCTAATTCAAATAAAAGAAATGTGTGGAAAACGTAACATATTTGTTATAGTCTAGTTTGTAAGCCTAATTGTGTATTATTATTGTAATGTTACGGTTTGTTTAGTCTCCTTAAAGAATAAACACTTAAATGGTAGATTTATCATTTAAAAAAATCCACTTAAAAGTATTTACACACTAAAAATGTGTCAATCTAGAACTGAGAACTGTTATATTTTTTTTGTGTTCTCAAATTAATTACCCAAAACACTGTATTTTTAGACCATATTTAGGTCGTCATCAAGTAACTGTTTATTAGTTTAATAATAAAGGTTATTTACCTGTATAAAACGGAAGAAAATTCTAGTGTAAAACAAAGAAACAAAGCAACGCCAAATCAAAAAAATAATTTTAATTTTTTTTATGTTGGTAAATACCATTCAATATGTATTTGCTAATAAAGAGAAAATTGTTATTAGAAAAAACAAATTGCTATTGAATCATACCTATCTACTAATTAATGATTTAACACATCATAATATTGTAATGCATGAAAGTCTCATCAATATAATCATCATAAATGATCAAATATTTCAATACTAATCTGATTTCTTATAAGAAATATTATAAATTATAATAAAAAAGAAGTCCAAATGTTGTTGAACCATAGAATCGCATCAGCCGGCTGATTTGTAACACCAAATTAATACAGACGCGACAAATTGATGAAATCACATAAATTAACCAATTTATTTTATTATTTCTTTTAGTATAATGATTTTTTCTTACAAAAATAAATATAGAACGCCTGGTTTTTATTAAAAAGTATAGTTTTGTACAAAATCAACCAGCCGCCGGCGAGAGTATCGGGTTTGTAAATTCAATACCTTGGCGGATTTCATTTTCTTTTATTAGGTCTGTTCCAAGTAAGACGGAAAAGGACTATTCGTTTTTTTAGTTTTAAATTGCAGATAGAGTATTATTTTCAAATAGATAGATAAATAAATTAATAGGGTGCCTTAATGTTTATAGTGCATACTGTTCCAATTAGCTAAAATAAACATTTCATAGAAACCTTTTCTGTTGAAATCTTGAAAATATATGTAATGTAATGTCCAAGAATCCAACCCAATAGAACAATTATAATTAATACAATATTTTTAAAAAATGTGTCAATAACAATACCATCCTGTGACAGTCCTCTGTTAGGCTTTACAGTTAGCAGTTGTTTTTGAGATAGCAGTATTCAAAGATTCGGGTTTATCAGAGACGGGTCTCTATGGAATGCTTAGTTTCCTTACACCTAGAGGGCTCTTACTACACTCGCTACACCGCACCGCTACGGCTATTTGAAACTGCTACGAAAAACTTGGCTTATTTACATATTATGTACAATATTTTATTTTTAAAATTGTTCATTAAATTCTCCTAAACTAATTGGTATCTATTGAAAACTGAATTAAGCCACGCTATGTAGAAATTTGAATTAATAAAGATAATTACTAGTGCGATTTTAAGGTACCTTACATTTTTAATGCGGTGATCCCTCATTAAACTTTACATAATACCTACAATGATTTCTCAAACAACTATGGACGTCAACAAGCATTTAACAAGTCACCTATTCGAGATGATTTGAGGTTCAGGAATAATATTATTGTAAGGTTTTCACGAAGCCTTTAGAATTCGCTCATCAATTACTTTAAAAGGAAATTCAAAAAACTGGGTGGCTCTACTTACTTCTATGGTTATACAACCCTGTCTATCTTTATGTCATAACTTTATGTATATATATATTAACAATCTGTGATGGTGAACTGCTGGATTACTGGCTTCCTTAACATACCCACAGCATGCGCAGAGGTGGTGACAATTGCATTAAATTTTAGTCTTAACATACGGCTTCAGTATCTCGGTATTATAACAGTTCAATAAACAAAAAGATCTTGTTTTTTAAGGTGTTCAACCCACATACAGTTAATACAACGCTTTACATAACAGTTATAGATATGATAAGATGCCCCTGTAAATTAGTATTTTAATTACTTTTATCTGATCTGGCCAACTCTTTGGCGTAGCGCATTTATCTAATAGGCACAAACAATCTATGTTTTAATGAGGCGGAGAAAAGCAATGCTGTTTGATTGTAGAGTAACTAGGTGTCTTCCTATTATTTTATGCAAAGGTAGTGAAAATATTTTGTTACTTACTGACGTAGAACACTGACCTTCCTTGCAAGGTGGTAGTAATTTGCAGATACTCAAATATATTTGCTAGTTACACGTCCATGTTATTGGTGACTGCCATGAATAAAGACCATATTTTTTGAAATAGCTCCATATGTCACGCTTTTACTCCTTATCCTTAGACAGAATGAGATTCAATGCCTAGGCGTATTGTAATGAGAATAATATGAAAAGAAGGAAATGCAATATATTTTTTTAAACCATTTCGGAAAACATAGACGGATTTCAATGATGTTGTAGATAACATGGTCTTGTACCTGAAAGTATGTACGAACCTTTACCTTTACGCATAGAGGGATGCATGTTTTGTGTTTTCATTTGGTAAAATCTGGTCAAATACAAATAATTACATGTGTAAGTTACGACTCGCATATCACACCTGCTACGAAAGTACAATCGATGTAATGATCAAAAATCAGTAGCGCTAACTAAGCAATTTATAATTATCGTTTCCTACAAACAAGAGTGTAGGAAACATTCGATTTTATTTAAACTTTATATTAAACGGAAACATTAGATTGCTTTAGGTGACTATTATCTATAGGTGATTACACTGGATTATCTATAGCCGATACATTTGTAATCTTAAGTTAGTTTTCAATAAAATCGAATGTAATTATAAATTCTTGGAAACTTTTCTGATTAGTTAGTGTTTTCAGTACCCACTGAATGCAGATCAAATGATCAAATTTTTGTCATTCTGGATAAATGTACCTATATTATTACATTTTCACTTGTGTAAACTGTGTTAGTTAAAAGTTTGTTTCTTAACTTTTTGGTCAATCTGAAATTCACGTTCTGATTTGATATAACTTTTTAATTTCTTGTTTGTTTGTTTCTATTAAGGTATTTGTAGTTTCCTACTCTTTTCATTAACGACATTTTTGTATAACAATAATAATTTGATAAAATATTTATATTGTTCTTGTTAAACATTTGCAGTTTATTCATTTCCATGAATCACAGACAGAACGTATTATTAAAAGCGTTGCACAGTCGAGCACGATAACTTGATATTTATCTATCGGAGAGCCATTTGAAAAATAAGCAGATAATAAACACATCACGAAGCTGATCATTCATACATAATTATGTAATTAAGATACTTGAGTGATATATACGCTGTGTTTGTCACGTCACCGGCCTCGTGTAGTTTGTACTAGCCACGTTTGTCCGTCTGTCATTTGTCATCGTTGAAACCAGCTGCCGCGATGAGTGAGCGAAAAGTGCCGACCATCGCACAACATAGTCCGCATTGTATTGCCGATCGAACTAATTAATCGATAGATCGGCCGCTAGATTGCCCAGTAGCGTTTCCGGTGAAGGTTGCTCAATATTCACCCGCCGATTTGTATGCGATACCTAGCTATAGCATTCGAAACGTTTTGATTAACGAAAGCAAATAATTGGACAAACAGAATCTGCTCTTACACATCTAAAAGCACTTAATTAGAAAAAAATACGAAATAATAGCGTAATTTAGGTAGATACCTACTTATTTTATGGAGTAACCTTTTAGGTGTGCATCAATCATTGTTGATTTATGTGATTCATCCTAATTGCGTACTTCACCTTTACTAATGTTGACAAAATGGAAATGCCTAACTGAAATATATTGAATACTGTACATTTCAATTGGCAACACGATAATGTATGTTTTAATTGAAAATATAAAGTATTTTCATGTCAATTACTTGACTCATAAATGTCGAATAAATTTTCATCGAATACAATAAATTCGAGGGAATGTTTTTTTCACGTCATCATTTATACCGAGACGCGTTTGATCAGGTGCTTTAATAAATCTAATTAACATTTAAATGGTGATCACGCATAATAAACAGGTGGCTTTATAAACTGAGACGATGCTCCTTAATTACTAGACAATAGCAACAATGTGTTAATAAGTCATTAAGTCGGTCAAAGCATTCAATACATGGGTTGATGAATAAACTGTGAACCACTTGTTCACACTGAGTGGGTGACGCAAGCGACGGTTCTGCATGCAGTAGTGTTGAGCTCCTTCAGTGCCGCGCCTGCGCCGCCCTTTTGCCATACCGACATGCATCGGGCTACCAATGGTGACACAATGGCACAACTGTGTACACCATACACTGCCTGCTATAGAAATACACCGATATCTTTGAGTTGTACACGGAGGCGGATCTTTCTAATGTCAGTTGAATCGAATTAGCTGGATCAATACGCATTTTAGTAATGTTTATGAACATGCCAAAGAAATTATAAACTCGTTTAAAAACACAGATAAAATTGTCAAAACTGGCAATAAGGATATTTCCCACGATTTTTCACTAGGTACCTAAACTTATAAGTACCATGACAGTCGATAATGGAAACAGATCGCAATTCAATGAAACTAAGCAAATCAATTTGATATTTTATGGTTCTGTCATCAGTTCACAGAAATCATTTGAAATTAATCAATTTTCCATTACTAAAACAATATTGGATCGAATTTTCTGTTAAAAATATGGC